TTTCGCATGCTTTAATTGTTCCAATATGTACTTTTCTAATTTATGATGGGATTACAGCATGGACAAATTGGCGTTAATGATAATTTTTTGTATTACGCCATTAAAGGTAACATATAAACCTAAAATTGTATTTACAGTATACTGGATAATTAAAATATGATTTATTTTGACCATAGATATGCCTCTTGTCATTTAATGTATATGCATGCAAAACTACTGGTAATAGAGCAAATACCTTATTCCAAGTTTAATAAGTGATTTTAATAATACATGGAAGTTAATTTTTAACTTGAATACTATTTTTTAAACTTCATAACTTATGCCGAAGTAACCTCAATTATTATTATCATAATGTTTTTGCTAATCTTTCTTACCATTCCATACTTAATTTTCGCTGCTAGGAAGTTCCATGATTTGAATTTTGATGAGTTTATAGCATTTGTGAAGAGAAAAAAAAAAAAAAAAAAGGCAACAGTCACTGGTACTCCATGTGATGTCGCCAACCCTCACCCCCACCAACCCACCACCTCGTAGTGAAATTTTTATTTCTACAAAATGTCATGCTTTTCACTGAATCAAGAAAGCAGTACAGCGTATCATTGCTGTTTTGGTAAAGTTACCCAAGCTCTCATTTGAATATTTAGAAGATCAATCATAAATTACTAGAAATGATCAATGTCTACACAATTTTCTGTGTGTGTATTTTTCAGATTGTATCAATTTCATTATGAGAAATTATACCATATGGAGTCAATTTCATCAAGTTAAGTTTGGGAAGTAGATGTATTAAACTTACATGTCTCTAGTAATTTGATCCCAGCCAATTATGAATTATTGATGTAAATCAATAATAAATTAATATTTTCAAGGATGTAATAAATAATGGAATAATAACAATAAAATAATTGCCAAGTTTCTAACAAAACGTAATCTGCAATCCAATATATCATGCCGAGTGTATACCGGACCAGGGCAGTGACCTGTTTAGGCATCACAGAAATCTGGTATACACTAAGATGAAGGATTCAATCTGAAAACCTAAGTGAATGGTTTAGATCTGCAGTTCTTCAACTACCTAACTGGCCTTGAATCCGACCTACAACACCATCCTCCAGGAGAAGGTGACTCATACACGGGAGCATTCATTTCAGAAACAATTGCCAGTACATACATTGTAGCTGTCCGGTTAGCTCCAATACGAGAATATGCAAGCATGACATCTATTGAAATCAAAATCACTTAGTCCAATATTTATGCCATACTACATTACACCCAGGAATCTTTAAGGCTGGGCAGCTGAATAACTCACTACTAGGAAAGAATCTCCCTTGAGATGGTTAAGTGGGTGGAAAAATGTTTCACCAACTATGAGAGTTTTTCCCACTTTAGTAATTACAATACAGAGTTTGTTTAACTAACTGATTCCTGGTATTAAAGCAGGACAGGAAGGGCCTCTTCACTGTCCTCTAAGAAGCGTCACCTTCCACCAAGTTAAGTGTCACTAAAATTGATAATTCAAAGTCTTTAAACTTGTAATCAAAATCTGTATCAATGTGTGACTGAACATTCAAGTTCAACTTGGCTACCATTAAAACAGATTATCAGATATTCTTCACTTTCTCAATGTTGTTTAATGTGTTTTATGATAACAAGAAACTATGGTCATCGAACTACTTTTCACACAAAAATAGGTCAAGTATTCTTACACATACATGGTAATTTTTGGGTACTTTATTTGCTCTAATAAAAGCATGCATAAATTAATTTCATGTGCGCTCATTGAAATATGACTTATTTCGACCATAATCTCATTTCTATCATTTATATAGGCACATGCCACTAATAGAGCAAATATGAGAATTGAATATTTGTTACTTTGGGAAAAATGTTTAGTATAATTGTTCAGGGTTGGCTATAGTGAAAAAATACATTTATCATAGTAGTTTAATTTTTAATTGTGACAACATTCACCAAATTTAAATCTACATATTAACTTTTTTCAACAATTTTGATCCAGACCTTTACGAAAATGTAGAATTATGTCTACTTTGTCCCAAATTTATGAAGAATTGATTAAAACATACATAAAAATGGATAAAATGCTGTGGCACGATTTTGGCAGAGTTCAAGGGGTTAAGATGGATGATATTTCTAACGATTTATATTTATTGTACACTATAAACAATAAGTTTAGCAAGTTTGCAGCATTGCAGGCAAAACTAATTTCAAAACAGAACTAAATTCAGTTGCTGAACCAACTTTCTGGGTTGTTGGTTTGAAAAATATTAATATCCACATTGATTGACTCATGGTGGAGATGGAGTGGAAAAAATGCTTTAAAATGAAGCCATTATGACCAACGCAACACTCCTGTTAGTGTTGGATTAACATTCTGATTTCATGTAGTTAACCTCACTGAATACCAATTCTAAAAATTGATTTGATTTGAAGATATTATGACAAGAATTCATGCAAATTGATAATGTTGAATGTGGTGTGATGAGATTTGTGCAAAATAGACCTTAACTGCTTTTTCAGCACTTTTTTCTTATATTCTTCAATATTTTGGGAAATGGCCCATAATTTTGGAGCCAACAGACAAAATTTGAGTCAATTTTCAGTTTTTACTCAAAAAATTCGGCTATTTTTGTCACAATCTTCTGAATGAAAATGCATAAACGGAACTATTTTGTGAATTTTTTATGAAAAGAAGGAACTGGTGGTGAAAAGGTTAGACATAAATGGCCGCTGAGATCTCATTGAGAACGCGAAAGCCGCGTACTTACGAGCCATGAAAAATAATGTTGCATTTATTCCCATCATTGCCTACACTGTTTCTAATAACATGGTTTATAGGTTACGCGAACAATGAACGACGATGACGATAGAGAAAGAAACACTATTTGCGAGTAAAAAACAAGTCTTGTGGCAATCTTGTTCTCAAGAGATCTCAGCGTGAAAACAGATAACAAGTCTAATGACTGCTAGCAATTTGGAATCTCATCAATAATTAGGTGGTATCACCAAAAGGTTAGTGTCCTAAAAAGAATTCCCTTGCCAAAAACAATTTCCACTTTATAGATTTACCACTGTGAAAATACAAAAAGCAATTCTCTTCATTTATGGTAAGCATAATATTGCTTTATAATGCAATTACTCACCGGATTAAATTTACCATAGCTATTTCCGATTCGAAAAATTCACAAAATTAAATCAACATGTACATGTGAAATTACAATGTAACTTATTATTTTGTTGGAAAATCGTATTCTGTGAATTTAAAATCCAGGGAATATATAATTAAATATGAAAATAATGAAATTAAATACCAGGGAAAATTTTATACTTTTACAGAATAAATTTTTTTCACGCTGAGAGGGTTACCCATTTGCGATCTATTTACTGGAGAAGTTAATGTTTGCAAATATTAGAGTGCTAATGATGTCCATTTTATTTTCATTGATAATATTTAGTTACTGGTGATTCAAAGCTATGGTCAGTAGGTCATGAATAGGTCACAGTGCCAGTCACCTGTTGTTTATGTCAACTCCACTGTCAATACTGACTACCATATTAGGACATTGATGTGTTGGTAGCCATTGTGTCAATAGTACACCTGACATTTTGACTGTACGCCTCATTAACTGTGCATTTAAAAGCATTCATATTATTATATACATGGGGTTTATCACACTGTTTAGAATTGCCATACACGTAGTTCAAGTTCATCACTTTCAACGTAACAGATCTGCAAAGCATTTACTGAATAGGTGGTTTCCAACTACTGGAGTAGTTGAAGCAGCAATCATCATATTGCATGGGTGACACTGACTGCTACGATTTAAATAAAAATCAAGAAAGACTAAAGACTACGTACCCACCACAGATGGTGTGCTCTATAATGCCAGTCAAAAATCTACTAATACTATTTACATGTTCGGCACAATATTTTGTTCATCTTTTTCTCTGATTTTTCTTTTGGAAAAAACTAATCAAACCAGTTGAAAAAATAATCAGAAAAATGATGAAAATAATACTAGTGTTTATGTAATATTACCATAGAAATAGGAAATATTTACTCCATTTGCAATGTAATTTTAACAGATTTGATGTTGCAAGGATATATTAACTAGATTTTAAATTTACAGGTTTATGAAGTAAACAATACACCCTATTGTTCACTGTTTGAACATTCACTGGATTTTAACTTGAAGCAATCAGTGAAAATATAACCTGATTAAAAATTAAATCCTCTACAGTACACCAGTTTACAAAAATAATTTGTAATTGAAAAAAAAACACGAAAAAAAAAAATATGCAAGGTTTTGTTTTTTAATTTTATTTGTTAATACTACACAGAGTAATATTTTGTAAGGAATTTGACTTTTGATCAAAAGTATGACATCATTTGAAAATGTTACAATGTTATTGTCGCGGGGAGGGGGGGGGTCTCTCTGAATAAAATATTGGAACGCAAGCTGAAGTAAAAAAATGTGTAAAATGGGTATTATTTAGGTAAAGTGTAAAGTAAGTAAGTGTAAAGTATAGAAACTTCATGTTGGAATGGGTTTGATATGTTGATAGTTAAGAATCAAAACAATGTTGCAAAGCCAGACTTCCTGTCACCAATTTGGACCAATAGATTATGCATATTAATTATGCATATTAATTTTATTATCATTCACCATTGGAAAAAGATTATCAGTAACAATACTGCTTTAATTTTTTGTGAAACAAAATTAAGTTTGTATCAATGACAATTTCTCTGCGATCATATGGCACAAAATAAGAGTGACTTTCACAAAATTGTTGTCTTCAGGAATGCCATGAAGTTGAAATTAAAATATGTTTTCAAAGTTCAGTTTGTGTAATATTTACATACCGTTTGTGATATATAATAAAATATTCTGCTAACACATACCACAACATCTGAGTTGTGGAGACGAAACGACAGTAACATTGATAGTCAATTTAATTAAAATAAAAATCTGGTGAGTTACCTTCACTTTTGGTCTTGTACCACATTCTGGAGTTAGTCCCGGTGATAACGATGGTGAATTCTGTGGCGACGCACTAGGCGACACACCTGGTGACACACTCGGTGACGCACATGGTGATGAACTTGGTGATGTATTCAGCGAGGAGTACGGTGAAACGCTATTCTTAGAGATCAGCGGAGATAGCGAGTTCGGAGACGGCGTCCTCCGAGAGACCAGAGGTGAGAGATTGTTGCAAGGTAAATTCTTTCGGCAGACTTGAGGTGATACATTCGAGAGAGACGACGAGAGTGCATGAAGCAGCCTTGGTGAGCCATATGGAGAAGAATGTTCATTGTCTGATTCTAGGATATTATCTGAAATCTGGAAAAAATAAAAATAATACATGATGAAAATTAAAATAAATTCTTAATATATTTATCATTTTTAAAAAAATTATCAAAATCACTTCAATTTCAATTAAAGTGCTTGACGTATATATACAGTTCTGTTGAACTAAAACAAAAGTGAAAGCAAATGCTTAGCTCGACTCTAGAGGGCAGTATAGCCACACAAATGATTTCATAGGCTCCTGCTACAGCGCAGCAAAAGATCACAATTTTGAAAAGGTAATCCGGTTTCTCAAATCACTGATTATGGGATTACATGAGTGCTTGCTGTACATGTTTAGATTTTGATATTTATTTTGTAAATGTGATAAAAAGGGATGTATTCAAGCTTTGAAACATACTAAGCAAAGTGTAGTAAGTCCAGACATATTATTTCTACCATAGAAACTAATGATGTGAGTCTTCCAAAATTGACGCAAATGTCACTATTCACTGAAATACAAAGTATCATGACCCCCCAACTCATTTATTATTCTTACACTGATACATTTTATTGCAAAATGGATAAATTCTAGGCATTTTCATTTATGTCTCCTACCACAACTACTTTGGTTTCAACTTTGAACTGCAATAGACAACACTGAGGGTATACTAAGTATTATACCTGCAGGGTCACATGAGTACTCAGTCATAAACCAACACTTTTACAAAGGTGCAATCAATCTACAAAACAAATACATTTGGGGGGGGGGGGTATACTGCTCGTAATCTTGACAACTTGACAAAAGTTATACGCAGACAGGTAGGGGTTGCTGCTAATAAAAACCACACATTATATTGATTCATAGTCTAAGTAATATCCTACTTTTCATCTACCTGTGTCATGTACCTGCAATGAAATTTTATTTTCACCAGGTATTGTATTTGTTAATAACTAAGTGTGTCTCAGTATCGTTAAACTACTGCAAAATACTTTATTTCCGCTTGGAATTATGTGTGCTATTTTCGCTAAAGAGAAGATTTAGTCAAATTGAAATCCAACAGATTTCGCTGCATTTTCGCTGCAGATGCATTTTAATTAACCAGTATACGATCAATACAATTTTTGGTTTCATGTGCATTTCTATTAGAGATATCGGTACACTTTAACTAATGTACTACTGTAAAATACTTTATTTTCGCTTGAAATTAATTTTCGCTGAAGGAATGATTCAGTGAAAATAAAATCAAGTGAATATTCTTTTTTTCCTATATTTTCCATTTAACTCATCAAAAATCAGTGAAAATAAATTCCATACAAAATCCCCAAAAAGTGTTTTCAGGGAAAATTAATTCCAGCTGAAATAAAGTATTTTACGTTATTTTTTTGCTCCAACAGAGGCATATCCAGAAGTCATATTTTATTAATACACCACATTTATACTAAGCTATGCCAACTTTTTCAACAGGACAGTTATTCACAATAATTCTTGTACTTCTAACAGAGCAAATACTGTATTCACTGCCCCAGTTTTCTTTTGCTCAAAAATGTTTACATTAGATGACCTACTGCAATATAAAGAGTTTACGAGAATGTAAAAATATGCACCAAAACAGAAGTGCATTTTATGAGTTCACAAGTACTAGCTTTTTTAAATTATGTTCATTTTTGTGTTGAAAATTACAGAAGAATTCAGCAGGCTTTTGTTGGTATTACTGTATCAAGGTGCATTGTGGGTGATAAAAACAGTTTACAACACAATGCACATTCGGTTTTGAAAATCTGTAGGAAACATGTCATACTTTTATATTCATGTTAGAGTATAATATTTAAAACTCATTCATTATTTAATATTTAAAGTTATGCTTTTTAAAGAAAAAAAAAATCAACTAGGGCAAAAGCTATGTTCTGTTTTTAATTCTCTCATATTATTGTTTGCACTAGTTCAATTAAAAACATGATATTGTTAATAATAATAAATTGACACAAGTTTTACAGGTTCCAATTCACAATGGACTGTGGTGTTTTTTAGAAGTGAAAATGAAAGCTCAAAGTTCTCTTGTCAACAGTCATTTTTAGAATTCCATATTACTTCAACAGACATTATGAAATTTAGAACTCAGTTAATTCTAACCAACCAGGATATATCTATGATAAAAAGATGCTTAAAAAATACAGTTCCACAGGAAGTGACACTCCATAGAAACTGATTAAAGATTGAATTTGTTCGAGAAAGTTGCACTGTGATGATCAGTAAGAAAAGAAAAACACTTACTAAAATCAACATTGGATATTTTAGTATAAAACATGGTGCACTGAATACATCACATTGATCTAAGTTCTGTAAAACATACTTACTGATGGCACAGCACGCCTTGTCGCATAGGGTGACGACAGTGGAACCGTTGAAGCCGACATCAACGTTCGATGATCCGAGCTTGGCGAACCACTCCTGACATGGTCGTCATGTTGGACAGCTGCCCTCTGTGCCCAGGTAGTCAGATTAGAAGTGTCAGCAGCGTCCAGTCTCTTCATCTCTCGTTTCTAAATGGAACACAAACATGCATGGTTTACAGTACACGTTCATGTGACAGCCTCCTTAAACGGCCATGTACTTGGTGCAGATCAAACATTATGCAAACAAGGTCAAGGTCATTATTTGTGAAACAACAAGGTCGATTTCATTACAGTTTGATAGCTTTTAAACTACCATAGCCGTAAATAACTGTGTGTTCAGCTTTTAAGAGCCACTTCAAACTCCTGAGTACCTGTAGGAGTTAGGGGTCATCTCAAAAATGTTCACAATAATTTAATACCAAAAGTGGGAAAATGATTTAATAGCCAGTTTTAAATGAAACAAATCTTCTGATTGGTCAGTATTCAGTCACATGTTAGGTATGAAATTGTTACAAATATTTCAAATTACTGATGTTACAGGAATATTTTGAGATGGCTCCTGAATGTAAACAGTTTTTTAAGACTTCCTTATTATCTCATTTTCTCCCAAACCTAGATTTTCATTTTATTGTACCTCTAATATTAGGTTCCCTCATATAACAGCCATATTTCATGTTTAAGACATCATTATCACATGGAAGGCACATATAACATTACAATAGTGGTGTTCACGCACAGTTCCTTAGCACGGGCTAAGAGGTCAAATACCTTCGCCCGTGCTAAAAAAATGTGCCTAAATGCTTAGCACAGGCTAAGATACTAAGTACGAATTAAATCTGGCCTGTTTTTGAGACCTGATCCAGACCCTTAGCACAGGCTAACAAAGTGCGCATGAACGCTTAGCTCGGGCTAAGCACCAAAAACGCTGTTGCTTTCAATGTTCATTTGGACGATTTACAACTATTGATTTCGACATGCCATTCCCGACATGACAATCAACGGGAGCACATCTACGGACATTGTTCTTGAGAAGAAATAAAATAACGATGAGACTGTGCTACTTCTTGTTAGTCTGCAATCTTGCACTTGAACTTGGTATTGGTAGTACCTAGAACTAATATGTATACCTTCCTATCTACTATACTGAACAATCATAGTTAAAATGACTGAAGATTTTGTATATTTTTAATAAGTTTAGGCGTTCCTTAGCCCGTGCTAAGCACTTTTCCTTCATGTAATTCCCGCAATTGGGTCTATCCGATATGCAAACATACAGGATAAGCTTAAATCTTAGCCCGTACTTTGTATAGCGCGAACACTACTATTGGAGGGAAGGGAAGGTTGAAACAAGTACTGGATACCCATAGTTGTAGCTTACACAACTATATGAAATAAGATGAAATGATGGGTTACAAAGTAAGAAACGCATATGGAATTGGAACCTACACTTGTACATATAAACTCAATATTATCCATTCGACGAATGTTGCAATGAACCGCTATGGATTGGTTACAATGACAGTCAACTATCCACAAGTCTGAAAAATTTATGGACAGTAGAACTCAACAGCGCATTTACGCAAGGACATATGCGCTTCTAATAGAGCAAATACTGTAACTGTTTTATATTCAGAGCTTTTCCATATACCAGTATGTGTGATTGATACAGAAATCAAAACATGCACATAAATTAAGGTATGATACAATAATACAACCAGTTTGTACCAATACGCTGTCCCTATACTAAATTCAGAATTCTAACAAATGTGATTATTGATTTATTAGAAAAAGTTCAAAAGGTGTTATATATCTAACATAAATACACACCAGGTAATCAATACCAGACAATATATCAAACCAAAAAAAATGTGATTCAGACTGACGTAGCAATGACTTGTCATTAACTACATGTACATATCCAGAATTATCACTAATCTTTATTGCTATTAACTGTTAGAAACATTTTATAAGGATGCAATAAAGTTATTATTATTATCATGTAACTGTGAAGTCAAGGACGACAATGACAAAACAATTCTGTTCTGTAGCATAAAGCATTCAACTTTTGCCACTAGAAACTTTAGTGAGTGTTTGCAAAAACAAAATTTTTTATCTCAAAACAAAGTGAAATCTTTGTTGTTACAGCATTTCCAACTCAAATTTCACAAAAATTACTTTAATGAAAATAGTAGTTACTATATATGACAGAATTAAAAAATAAAATAAAAATTTCAGACAGAATTAAAATTATAATAACATGGGTCTGTATTGACTTAAGGTAGATTCCTAGTCATGAATGAAAATTAATTCATTTTCCAAATAAATTGTACTTCCTGGCACTATAAGGATATTTACTTAAAAAAAAGTGGGGGTCACCAGCTTTATTTTTAAGAAAATTATGGTTGTATTTTTATGGTTGATAGGAGTCATTTTAACAGTATTATCAGGTGCTCTACGGAATGTTCTAAAAATAGCAATTTTTGGAAAATATTAGAACAACTTTCTAAAAAATTATGGGTCGGCTTCTACCTTTTCAACGAAGTGAAACAGCAACTTTTAAGATGGTTGAAACCAAGAACACAACTAGCTTGTTAGCACATTAGCTAATTGCGCTAAACTGTAATTTAGCTAATTCAAGAAGTAGCTAATTTAAAGAAAGTATATTTTTACGATGAG